TTTTAACTCCACGGCTGTGGACTCTAAGCATGGGAGCGCTCTTAAACTTGCACAGCTGTAGACACTAGATGTCTGAGCCAGAAGGCAAGGCACTAAATTGATATGTTGATACTTCAAAGTCCCTAATTATGGGTACAGTTTGGATACTGATCTATTGAATGCTACGGTTCATCTGATTATGTTGGAAGGTGCCTCTTTAGGGAGTCCTTAGTTGTGTTTTATATAGTTGAATGTATGGTATTTAGATGCCTTGATGGCCTTGTGGCCCAAAGGGGGAGAAACCTGAAATCACTCAGTCTTCAGCCCGTCCCTGGCTTCATACCTATTCTTGCCTCTGATTCCAACTCTGTCTCTGTTTTTCAGTCTCCCTAATGATAGTCTTAGCTTAAATCACTATGAAACCTTATAAATTTTAGGAAATAGAAGAGACTCAGAAAGATGCAAAGTGCAGAATCTATTCTGTCTCCTCTTGACATCTCCCTGGTTAACAGTGTTGGAGAAAAGCCTGTGCATATGGGTAGCAGCCTTCAGTACTTAAGGTCAGTTGTCCTTTTTCCTGGTTGGTCTCTCTGCATTTTCAGCCAGCAAACACTCTGGAAGTCCCCATGGGAGCTGGAGAAAGCTGGCAGTCTTGTGATGGGGCGGTCAGCCCTACACGTAAATACTCACTGTCCATGTGGTGTGGTACCTTTGCAAAGTGCCTACAGGCCATCAACTCATTCAAGTCCTAGATAGTGACCTAAAAGGTGATTTTTTTTTCAAAAATGTACACAAAAAAGAATGTTTGGGGAAGTTTTTCTATTTTTTTAAGAACCCAGTGCACATGAAATTATGGATTAAACTAGCAGTATAAAAATATTACAGAACCCTAAGGACAAATATATTTTTTAAAAACCCTGGAGAATTGTTACCAAACTGGAAAATCCCAGTAGTTGAGAGATTAAAACTGACATTGCTTCTCCTCATTCTCTTTCCCTTGCCAGTGCCACCCCTGCACATGCCCACAGACCCTCCAAATTATGTGAGAGGAGGTAGCACTTTTGAGAGTTTGTGTGTTCACATAATCTCATCAGAGTTTTTAGGGAGAGAGGTTGAAAGTGTAGACAGGTTCACAATTTTGTTCCCAGGGGAAAATGTCTTAGTTATATATGGAAGATTTTACAAAGTGGAATAATGTGTCTGTCCTTTGGGAATAGAAAAAGAACAAGTTTGGTTATGTTATTTTTCCATTTTCCAGATAAAATGTTACAGCGTGAAGTAGAGAGTAAAAGTGGCAAAGAACTTTACTCGAGTTTTTACTCCACTCTTTTGAACTCAGAGCGTAGCAAATTTAAAGTTTGAATGAGAAATCAGCCTTTTCTTTTAGGATTGCCAAACTCAATTTCCTCTTCTCTTTTCTTGATATATAGGCATTTAAGAAGATTATTTCGTTTTAATTCAGACAAACCAAATTATTGCAGACATTTCTTCTATAGTTTCAAAGTGCTTGCCAGATTAAAACCTCTGAAATTATGTGGTACCCCAGAGAATAGGCTAAACTCTAGGATTTTCCAACAAAATATGTTTATTTTTATTTTAAGAAGATCCCAGGTAACACTTTGCATCTGGCTCTGGATTTGGAAGGAATGGGAGTTTCTTTCTGAGTGTCTGTAGGAGGGATAATCTGGATTGAAAGTGAAGAGGCTGCCATCTGAATATTTAGGCTTGTCTAATAAAGACACTATCCAGACTACCACATTTACTCTGTGAAGATGTTGGCAGCATTTTCTAGCTGCTGCTCTTTTACCCTCTTGTGATAGAAGGAGGGAGCAAAGGCAGTTGAGAGTCTGTTAAATTCCCCATCCCTGCTGTCCAGCGACTCACAGGTGAGGGCCGACACTGGGGACCCTGCAGACACGCGCTGGCGCTACCACCTCTGACTTAATACTCCTTTACCTGCACTCCACCTCAGAGAAGATGCTCATTTATAATCTCTCTTCGACTTCCTATATCCTTCCCCACAATTTCAGATAAAATTTCATTTAGAGAGTGAAAATTTAAATCAGCAGGTCTGATTTAACTTTCATCCTCTGGCTAGTTGATTTTCTATGTGAAAATTAAGTTTTCGTATTCGAGGTTCTGGATAATGAGTAGCTGTAAGTACTGCATTTTAAGCAGCATAGTTCACTCTTGTTCTATGACCCTCTTGTGTGGTCAGTGAAACTCATCAGATGCAAGTCAATCACTTTACAAGCAAAAGCTGTTGTTCTTTCATTAATTAATAAATACTTTGTAATTACTATGGACTTAACCCTCACTAGTCTAAAATATGGAGAAAAGAGGGAATTTGGTATCTGCTGATCTGAATTATGGAGAGGAGAGAAGTTGTTGTCTGTGCTGGTCGTGGGCCCGTTTTGCTTGCTGAGCTTGTATAGACGCAGAGTCTGTAGATCCTATTTAACTGGTCTCAATGGGTAGCTCTTTCCTCTTGGGGTAGCTGAATAGCTGACTACTGTGTGCATTTCTCTTGGAATATTTGTCCCAAAACTGTCTTCCCTAGGTCTTAACAAGAAAGGAAATAATGGAAAATCTACTTGGTGTTTTTTAATAAAGGATACCAGTGCTCATCATGAAACTATCTTTACTTTCTTTGTATGTTATTTAGAATTAGAACTCTTTGAGAAGTCAACTCTAACCTTCTGTGTTGTGAACAGTTTTAGATGAAAGATAATCATTTCTGCACTGATGGTATAAAATACAGTGTTGTAAATGTGTTAGTAATTTCCCAAGGAGGCAGTTGGCAGGCTAGGTGGTGACAATGGTTAAGTTTTCTTATCCAGCGAGTTAGTAAAACCTGGTAAGGTTGGTCTTTTGGGGCCGGCCCCGTGGCTTAGTGGTTGGGTCCGTGCACTCCGCTACTGGCGGCCTGGGTTCGGATCCCAGGCGCGCACTGACGCACCACCTCTCTGGCCATGCTGAGGCGGCGTCCCACATACAGCAACTAGAAGGATGTGCAACTGTGACGTACAACTATCTACTGGGGCTTTGGGGAAAAAAAGGAGGAGGATTGGCAATAGATGTTAGCTCAGGGCCGGTCGTCCTCAGCAAAAAGAGGAGGATTAGCATGGATGTTAGCTCAGGGCTGATCTTCTTCACAAAAAAAAAGATTGGTCTTTTGGTGTGAGAGAATGCACTTCTTTCTGAAATAGCAGTTTAGGACGCCATTCACTCCGTTGACTATATTTTAATGTAATGAAAAACTAAGCCAAAAGGATTACATAGAAAATAGGTTGTTTTTTCTGTTTTTTTTTTGTGTGTGAGAAAAATCAGCCCTCAGCTAACATCTGATGCCAATCCTCCTCATTTTGCCAAGTAAGATTGGCCCTGGGCTAATATCCGTGCCCATCTTCCTCTACTTTATATGGGACGCCACCACAGCATGGCTTGACAAGCAGTGCGTGGCTGTGCGACCAGGATCCAAACCTGCGAACCCTCGGGCCGCCGAAGCAGAGCACGTGCACTTAACCCTGTGCCACCGGGCCAGCCCCCATGTTTTTTTGTTTTGTTTTTTTCACAACTGTAAGAATACTTCTCAGATTTTCTTTTCTTTTTCTTGGTATGTGTGAAATTTAGGCCAAGCTGAATTTGTTCATTAAACTTATAGTTAATGAACATCTGCTATAGGCCTTGTGCTACAAACTGAGGACTTGATATGAAGAAGACACAGTTCTTGCTATCAGGAGCCCACAGTCGGGGTGGGTAACTAGGGGAAAGAAGTAGCATCTGCAGTAGTCTAGCCAGAGAGCTGTGGTGGGGACATACAGCGCTCCTGGGAGCGCCTGGGAGAGGCGTCTGACTCCCTAGTGTAAAGGTAAAGTAGGAGTTAACCAAGTGTGCATCGAGAGAGGCGGCTTCAGAGAGGAAGCTGGGGTTGGCGAGAGGAGAGTCCAGACCAAAGAACACCATATCCAAATGTGGTGATAAGAAGAGCTGTGGAGAGTGTGAGGACCCTGAGGTACTCCAGCAGGGTGGGGCATGATGTGGGAGGGAGAGCCAGGGGCTCCTCGGTCCCCAGACCAGGAGCATCTGGTTAGAAATGGTCATCTGCACTTTTATTCTGGTGCCTTGGGCAGCTATTGGGGGATCTTAATGAGGGACAGCAACCTAGTAAAACTTTCACTTAAAAAAAAGCAAAAACCAGAAAGCCTCCATTTACATGAAGAATGGCGAGGATGGTGATGAGACTGAAGAGAAGTGGTCAGGAGCCTGATTTAACTGGCCAGCCAGTGTGGAGAAGGCAGATGGGCGTGTTACAGAGAGAGTTTTGTTTACTGGGAGGGTGGGAGGGCCCTGAGAGAGGACAGGCCCTGCGGCAGGCAGCTAGAGGCAGGTGGGCTGGAGGGAGGTGGGCATGGGAAGCAGGGGGTTCCGATTCTGGGGAAAAAAGACAAGCTAAGTGACAATGTTGATTGAGTAGGAATGTCTTCCTTCCACGTGGCTTTGCTGAGTAAGGTAGAAGAATGGAAGTTAAACTGAATTCTTGATAGCAATTAATAGTCCAACCACATGCAGAAATGCCTTTGTTCTAGGTTATTTCTACCAGCTTTTGAATTGTCTGACATAATAATAGTTTTGATAGTTGCATAAAATACTGAATTTAAGACCAGAAAAGACTGTCATATTCCCACAATTTTCCTACATTTTTTCTGGAACAGTGTAAGGGGGGAGCGGAGGGAGAAGGACTTTGTAGGCACCATCCAGGTGGTAAACTCTCTGCCCCGGTTATTGTTTACTGAGCCAGGCCATCCTGCTGTTCTTCCCACCTCAGAGGCTGTTCTTGTTGCAAGAACCCTCAGATGGGAGGGTAGGGAGCCCACTATTGGACGCCTGAGGCTCCTCTCAGTGACCCGGGACATGAGCACGCACTGTGCTCCCCACTGGGATTGGCCAGGCAGAGGCGATCTGTTACTCTGTGAGCCTGGTACTCACATGCATCTCCTCACCCAGTTGTCTTTTCTCAGGTGATGCCAGCTCCTGCCCCACCGTCAAGGAGTGGTTTGTGTACTCTGGGAACCCGTTGAGGCACCCGGACCTCGTGAGGCCTCTGCCGATGAACATTCCAGGTACCAACAGCTTTGGTGTAAATAAATCACTCACTTGTTCACCAAATGATTTGTGTCCAATAATGGATTTATTGTGGAAACATTTTTCCAGAACTGCACATATACTAATTTTCATTTCAACCCTGGGCCCAAGAGGAATGTATCTACTAGTAAAGTTCTAAAACAGCAGAGGAAAGGGCGTTACACAGATTTGCCCTGGGCCGGCTGCTGTGTTGCTGTGCCTCACTCCCCCATCCTCCAGCTCATGGTCCACGCCAGGGGGAAAGAGAGAAACACGCAGAGGAGTGTGGTTGTAGGTCCAGGCCCATTGCTGCCGATCCCTAGGGCCTGCTGCCTCGTTGTTGGTCAGTAAACATCCACTGAAGTAACAGGATTGGGTTCTCTGTACTGTGCTTAAATCAGCTCTTCTGCTCACCACTGAAAGTGTATTTTGATGAACTGGAAAGGGGAGAGAAAGGAAAGTTATTTTAACTGGAAAAGTCAGTTTTCTTTTCATGTCAGGTGTCTTGGAACATATAATGGGAGAGAAGGAAAAACAGTTCACCTAGAATCAGCTGAAGAAAATCCTTTCTTCCTGTGAGTTCTTAGTATCTGGAAAGGTCAGGAATTCATGACTATAGGGGACAGTATCTACCTACAATTAGGAAGAGGAGGGTGGGTTTAGTGTTTATTCTTAGTGGCCCCTGTCATTGTTTCAGAGAACAAATATTTTTCTAAAATTTTGATATTCCATTTTTGTATCTGTTAAATTCTCTCATGTCACTATTATTTTGTGTCACACAAGCCTGTAATTTACCAAATAAGGATTTGAGCACTGCAAAGTGTTTTTCTTGTAACTGGAATTGTATTGGGAGAGAAGTTGAGGAAAGCTATTACAGAGAATATTTCTTTATTTTCTCAGTCATTGATATAGTCAAACCTAAAAAGGTACTTATCGTAAACACAAATTAAGTGAATTGACATTTGTTTTTACAGCAAGAAGTATTTTTAAAAGATAGCCAAAATAATTTTCCAGAGATGTTTTGTTGTTTATGTAATTTTCATCTTATAGTATCTTTCCAAAAATAATACGAAAATGGATTATTATAGTTCTCTTCATGGTTTGATTTAAAGAGAATACTTGGCTATTCATCATTATATTATGAGTTAATTTTAAAGGCCCTTCATATAATGTTTTAATAAACTCTGGAAGTCATGCAATTATCAGAGAGACTACTTCTGAAGCTTATGAAACTGTTCTCCCCAGCACTACTGAAATTGCAAAGCTTGTGCACGTGGCCTGCAGAGACTGCATGTCAGGATTCTGCTTCTAGAGGGAACTTGGGAAGCCTGTTCCCTCCATGGAGGGCCCTGTCTAAAGGGCATGTTCACAGCATCACCAGTGACCTGGAAACGTGACTTTAACTGTTGTTGCAAGTGGTTTAGACGAATGACTCTGTTTGTTTATGCTTATGTTCATGATGATACAAAAATGACAAGACTTTAATATTTAATGCTTTTCTGTATCCATGAGGAAAAATGCCAAGTGTTTTTAGACTAAAACGGAAGATGAACCATCCACATTTCTGTCACTGCATCTTCCATTGCTCAAACACTGTATAATTCAAGACAGTGGAATCCTGCTGATTGATCCTCTCCTTCCACTGTGTCAGGAAACTTACCTTACACATAGGTGCCAAGTGCTCTTGTTGGTGACTAGAGTGGTTGCTCCCAAGTCAGACCAGCAGCAGGGTTGTCATAGAGTTGAGAATTACCTTAGGACGCTGTATCTGATGTTCCTTGTCCTCCTGAGATAGATTTAATTAGATTGATCTCATAAATGCTGCATTTTCAGTGAGTCTCTCAATATAGTGGCCAGTGTTCCTTTTTTAAAAAAGACTTTTTCCTCTAATAGCACATATGATTTGATGCTCACTTTCTTAAATGGTAGAAATAAAAAAGAAATCACAAGTATTTTTCAACAAAGTGGAAAGGAGACAGAAGGAGAGCAGAAAAATTATAGAAATTACCTAAAAATTAGGAAGGGGAAAGAATTAAAATGACCTGCCAGGGAACAGAAAAATAAATTTTATTACTGGTATATTTTATTCAGAGAACTCATTTAAATGCATGTATTCCCATCTGTGTTCCCATCTTTTGTGTGTAGGCTATATACACACATTCAGATATATACATACACATATAAGGTATATTCCTGTATATATGCACACATTCATATATATTATCTATATTATGTGTCATTTATCTTAAAATATATCATGAAAGATGATCTTTCTGATAGCACAAGAAGGGTGTACCTTGAAATTTAGCTTTCTTTCCCCAGACACAACTCGTAAATGACCCTCGAGTTGTCTGTGTGTGTATTCATTTTTAGCACACAACTTCACTCTCATTCTTCCTCACATATGGACCTTCTGCATTTTGTGGAGTGAGTCTTCAGCCAACAGCAGGCAAGCATTTGAAATTGCTTTTTTATCTCCAGAACTGGAGATTCTTCTTTAGACAAAGTATAGGTGATGTTTTTCTCTTTTCAGTGTCATTTTTTCATCATTATAAGCATATCCTTATTTTAGAAACCTAGAAAAGCTAATTGCACACATCTAATTGGAAATTTGTCTATCTGGAATGATTTTTTTTAAGTGTTGTTCAAGAATCAGTAAGTGAACTTAGTATTTCTTGGCTATATAAGAACGTTTGACTCTCCAGAATCTTGCAGATCATCCTAGAAGACTCTTTTACAAAATGAAATGAGGTAAAGTGATACATTTCATGAAAAGAAGGTGCTATATGTGACTCATTCCATCATTTGTTAAACAATTGTAGTGCAGCTGTCTTGTTTCAGCTCCTCTTATATACACTTTTGAAGGTTTTCATCTTGACACTCGATGTGTACAGATCAAGAAGGTCTTATCAAATCTGAGAGGTTCTGTGGGTGGCACATGGAGTCACCAACTGCTGTACAAGTGCGTCAACGTGCACTTGGTGAGGAGACACTGATGTGGCCACCAGTCTCTGGACCAACCTGTCTGACGTCAGGGATCAAGACAAATGGATTTAAAACCTCAGTAGTGGCGTTTCCTCCATTTGTAAAAATAATTTGAAGCTTTGCCAAATAAATGTGTGACAAATACACACGAGTCACAAGCTAATGGTTGAATTTTGTACTGACTCCTTTTTATAGCCACATTCACTGTATTTTGAATGCATTAGATAGAAGCAATATAACTGCCATTTTGCATGAAATTAGATGACTCATCCATGTAAGTGTAGACTTTAATATTTTGAGATGGCAATGCATTCTACTCTGTTTATATCTGAAAGAATTTTTTTGCTTGTCATAAATAGGCTGTTGAAGTTCAGCCAGCCAGAGTAAAGATTCAATTTGCCTGTGAGTAGTCCAGGTTTTAAATTTTGTTTTCTCTCAGCCGGGAATTCTCTATCAAACAGAGAATGCTAAATAAATATTCATTTAAATTAAACTTATGGATTAAAACCTTCACAAGTAAATTTAAGACATAAGATATATGCAAGTTAATTTCCAGAAGTTTCACCTCTCATATCCTGAGAGAAGACACAAGCCAGACAGTTTTATGGTTTTTCTTACCCTAGGAATAGGCAAGGAAAATAATCATAGGATAACTCTAAAACCTAGCTATTAAAATACTTGTTTCCATATAAAAAGCACAGAAAAAATGCCATAGCTTAAGGTCTAGTAGTGTCTTTATTCGTCCACTCGTGTTCATAGCTGTAAAAACACAAACGGGCCATTGCTCTGTTGCTAATGAGGCATGCCCAGCACCCTTCCACCCAGGGGCTGGGTCCTTCCAGGCAGCTCTCAAGACAGTATTCAGAGTTGTCATTCATAGAAATGACCTTCTTCCCCACTCAGATGCTCTGCCCTCTGGGGCTCAGTCCCTCCTGAAAAGCTCCTAGGCTTTTCTGTCCATCTGTTTACACAAAGGCTTTTACCAAGTTATGTAATTAGGTTTTTGAAGCTGATGTGTTTTAGATGCAATGCTAGTTGGTGACCTAGAGACCAGATCGCTAGTTTAGGTCTCTGGATTGTTCTTTGAAACATCTCAGCTTCCTGTGGAGCTGTGGGTGAAATGTAAGGGTCACTCTTGATCTTTTCTGGCAGAGTCTGTGTATGCCCATGACCTAGATGAATGTGTGTGTGTTTGTGTGTGACAGGGAGAGAAGAGCTCTCTTCCACAGCAGATAGTTTTAGCTGCTCTCCTCTGAGGTGATCTGTCTTCTAATTCTGATCAAAATATGTTTCTTCTAAACTGAAATTACTAACAGTTTCCTTCGTGTTTGGTAGGCTCAACTCTCAGGTTGTCACACCTGAGTTAAAAACCACTTTGCTTAGAGAGAGTTTACCAGTAGAAGAGAACTAATCTAAATGGTCCTTCAGAGAACTTCACACCCTCCCTGGTTACCTATCAACTGAGAAATAAATTTCTGGGTGGATGGGAGGAACCGACATTTTACTGCACTTAGGAAAAAAACAAGCTTCCAGTTGAGGCCTTTGTGTAGAATCTTCAGAGGCTCTCCATGTGTTGTAGGGATGTATTACTTGTGGCATAAAAAGATGATAACCTCAGAATATGTTATCTTCTATTAAAGACAAAGATCCTCACGTTCTGGAGGAAGCTGTTGAGATGTCTTATCTCATGCATTAATGTACATATAGACATTTAATACTTATTGCTTAACTAAATAAGTTATTGATTGAAGTTAGGATTAAAATTCTCTGATATTAAAGAGATTTATGAGGGCATGGTTTTTCAAACTCATGGTTTTCTATAATCTGTTATATATCATTAGACCTTCTCAAGAACCAATTTCTTTATGATGGTAAGTTATTCTTTTTTTGTCTGTAAGTGATTGCTTAGCTTTTTGTTGAGGAATGTTGCGTGGTATTTAGTCTTTGCCTGCGTCAGAATCACCTGGAGGGCGTGTTACAACAGATACTACCCCTACCCCTGGAATTTCTGAGATGGGACCCAAGAATTTGCATTTCTAACAAGTTCCCAGGTGATGCTAAGGCTGTTGATCTGATAAAAGATAGAGGGGAAATAAAATAAAACCCATCAATCCACAAGTTGCTTACCAGCTTTTTTCTTCACTTACATGTCGCAACCTCTGGATGCCGAGACCTGAATAAATCATTCCCTCCGTCCACATGCGTTCACTGGTGCCTGCAATTCTGGGTGAACTGCGAGTTCCTGTATGGCCCCGCTGCAGAAGCCACGCTCTGAGATCCTATCCTTTTCTATTGCAGTGAAGAAGGCATCAATCTGGAGTCTTCCTCTGCCCCAGCCTGCTGTGTCGCCTAACCACCTCTTAGTCCATGACTTCTTCCATCCCCACTGCAGCCTGAGTCATCTCAGAGCACAGACCTCATCACAGGATTCTTGGAGGCTAACCCTTCTGTTTCTTCCCATTGCTCTCAGGATAGAGACCTTGGCCACCATGTCTCCTGGAACTTGCCCTTTCCTTCCTCATTATAATTAATTCCCACTAGCTCTTCACATCTCTCTTCCTTCCATGATGCTCCCTCTCTTCACAGTTCAAGTCCTCCACTGCGTGATCTCCGAGTCTCACACTTATGGTGGGTGCCTGTGTGCTCCAATGGATTGTGCACTCCCCATGGGAAAACACTGAGTCTTTCTCATTCCCCCTGATGTCTCCAGCACCTGCTGTGATGGCCAGCATGTGGTGGTTCCTCAAAAGTAGATGTCCAGAGCGTGGTTGGTGGGACATTTGGATTGATGGATAGGAGGGAGGAAAACAGGGAGGGTTCTGTCAGATACCCATTGCTGCCTCCTTTCAGTCCCAGAAGTCATCTCCTTCATGGAGCAAAGCCCAGCCCAAAGGTTCCTGGTCATCTCTTCCATGGACACTCTTCCCGTGCCCCTGCCCCGATTTGCTTATTACTCTTTGACCTTCAGTATTCCTCTGGGAAGACCTTCATGGTCTTTTATCACAGTGTGTTCGTATGGCTTTGCCTGCAAGCTCTTCCAAAAGAGTGACTGTCCATCTTTCATATGGGGTTTCTCAGGACCTAGCAGCGCACCTGGAATTGCAGGCATCAGTATGTGCAAACTCTCGGCCTTCATACAAACTTTTGTGACAATATATGTGAGGAAAAGAATGGTACACAGTTGTCTGGTTTTATTTTTCTTACCCTCCTATCTTTTATTAAACATACTTGTAAGTATCCTGGCTGGTGGTATCTCACCTGGGTATCTAAGCCCATTCTATCCAGTTTTGTCCCTACTGGGAGTGAATAACAGGCCACAAGCACTGTCATCATTATATGTTTGCTCAGGAAGTCTCACATTTATCACTGCCACCATACTTGATTCTAACTAGATCTCATGAATGTTATTTTTTTGTATTAAAGTCTTATGTGTAAGCAAATGAAACACCAGGTAGAATCTTTCCACTGTCCATCTCAGTGCACTCTGATGGGGACTTGGCTTCTCAGCTGTGTTCATAAATGTTTTATATGCATTGAAAAAAGGACTAGAGGCTATATTCTAAAATATGGTTATGTCTGGAAGGTAGGATTGTAGATTCTTTTTATTTTCTCTTTATGCTTTTCTATTTTTCTAAATTTGTTATAATGCATGACTTTTATAGTCACAAAAAATGTTTTTCAGCTACCTTAGTATTTTTGAAATAACTATGATAATGGAATATTCATCATTTACCTTAGATCAGGGGTTGGCAAACTTTTTCTGTGAAGATAGTAAATATTTCAGATTCTTTCAGCAAGTTTTCAGATAGTACAGATAGTAAATATTTTGGGTTTTTTGGGTCATGTGGTCTCTGTTGCAACTACTGAACTCTGCATTTAAAGTACACAAGGAGCCGTAGACAATATGTAAATGAATGAGCACAGTGGTCTTCCAGTACAACTTTATTTAGGGACATTGAAATTGGAAATCATATAATTTTCTTATATTGTGACATATTTTTCTTTTGATTTTTTTCAACCATTTAAAAATGTGAAAAGCATTCTTAGTTTATGGTCTGTACAAAAACAGGCAGTCTGTAAGGTGTATTTGGTCCATGAACTGCAGTGTGCTGACCTTGGTCTAGATGATTATTATAAACACCTGAAAAGTGTGTTTCTAAGACGTAATTGCTGGCCCTGGTGATTATCTTGGAATAGTATCTCTATCTTAATAACTAGTGCCATGGATTTTTTCTTTTTGACAATTATCGTCAGTATTTTCTTTCTTTCAAGAGAAAAATGATTTTTTTCTCCAAGATAAAGAATGAAAAAGTTTTTTTTGTTGGAGGGAACACTTCAGCCATTTCAGAAATGCAAGTAAGTTTTGCTGGGTTGTTTCACTTCTGATGGTGGGAAGTACACGACTGAAATACTAAATAATGTGAAAAATGTAAGAAAAAACAAAGAGCTTCCCTTTTTGAGACATTTAATTCTGATGCCATTCGATTTTGTTTTTTTTTCCTTAGTAAACATTTAGATCCAAGCCATCTTTGCACTTCATGCACATGTTAGAGCCCAGCAACCCTGTGGAAAATCACGCTGCTGCTCTACGGGACCCACTTGGCCCAGAATGGCCCCCTGTCAGCAGCAGCAGAGGGCTGTGTGTCTTCCTCCAGACTACGTTTTGACAGAAATAAATGAGGAAGCGTTTTTTCTTTTCTTTTCTTTTAATAATTTAAACGTATATATAAAATATAGAAATGAAATACTAAAAATTGTGTTTTAGGGCTTTTTGTTTGTTTAATAGTTTTAGTGACATGCTTTCCAAAACATGGGCCCGCAGAAGCCTGCATCCAAGTCCACAGGTTGTTCATTGCAGACTCCCAGGCACCATACCTATCAGAGCAGAATTTCTGCACGCGGAACCCAGGAAAATGCACGTATAATCTCTGCAGCTGATTCTTTCGCAGACTGAGGGTGAAAACCGCTGATCTAGGGGAATAGAGGGCAAGCCAACGGGTGAATTGGAGGTGCGTCACCCAAGCGCTGCATCGCGCCTGTGTCTCTCTCACACCCTGATATCTCAGGGTGCTCCAAAAGGCGTTCTGAACAATCCAGGGTGCAACACAGGTAGGAAAAAAGCCCTAGTTTCCCTCGAAACATGGGCCATTAAAACAGAAAAATGTTTTCAATGAAATACGTATGTGCCAGCCTTTTAGGATTTTTGCTTGTTTAAACCAGGAAGCTCTGTTCATGTTTACTTTCTAGTTCCTTTAAGCTTTAAAGCCCAAGGATGTCAGGAAGGGAAGAGGTTAGTGTCCTTTATTCTTTTATTGTAGTTCTACAAGAAGCATGTTATAATTTACTAGTGCAAAGAATAATGGTAAATGGACTTTTTTTTAACTAGGGGGAACGCCTAGTTTGAAACTGTTGTGGCTGAACCAAGAGCCAGGAATACAAGCCCGGCGCTTGGACACACTCCTGGCCTGTTTCGACCTTTCCTCCTCAAGAGAAGAGCTGCAGGCAGTAGAGAGCCCTTTTAAAGCGTTGTGCTGCCTCCTGATCTACCTCTTTGTGCAGGTAACCTTGGCTCCGTGTTCTGATTGCTGCAGTCGCTCCTCACTCCTGGCCCTCCTCTCTCGTGAGATGCAATGCTCTGGGATATAGCCATGGGCCAGTCCTCCACATTACCTCTGTCCAATGTCTGTTCCATGAACACTAGTCCTATGAAATGCTCTAAAACCAAAACAAGGGTTCTGTGTTGGCATATGTTCGAGAAGCCCTGTCTGCTCTCAGCCTTAGAGGTTTGTAATGCACATGAGTGTGATACAGGCTTGGGAAATCTCGCAGATGAAGGAACCTGCTTTCGCTTTGTCTATGCTTTCTAAGCTTTTTGGACTGTGGAGTACCTCCCCTGTGCTCTTGTCACTGCTTGGGTGCTTGTTATGAACGCGGTAGTATCTACTTCCTGGAATTATGGGCAGTCATGTTATAGAAAACATGAGAAGTGTTTGAGAGATGCCCAGCGAAAGGTCCACGAGGATCCTCCTCAGATCCTCAGCATTAGTCTTCTCTTCACCTACTAACTTCGGGGTCATGTGCTGCATGTCAGGAATGCAGCACTAGGTCCTAATGGATATCCCTCAACAAGTTGGACAATTTCTTTTTCATTAGTTTTACACTTAGTTTATATGTGAAAATTATAAAGGCCGGTGAAAAGATTTGCCTTTAAATAGTGTCCCATGTCCACGATAATGTTTGGACACCTCAGTAGAAGAAGGGCCTTACTCCCTCCACCTCCCAGCCCCTTCTTCTCCCCACTGCCCTTCCCCAGCTGTATTTATTTTAAAATGACTTTTGGGCCAGCCCCATGGCGTGGCGGTTGAGTGCGAGCGCTCTGCTACTGGCGACCCGGGTTCGGATCCTGGGCGCGCACCAACGCACCACTTCTCCGGCCGTGCTGAGGCCGCGTCCCACATACAGCAACTAGAAGGATGTGCAACTATGACATACAACTATCTACTGGGGCTTTGGGGAAAAAAAAGGAGGAGGATTGGCAGTAGATGTTAGCTCAGAGCCGGTCTTCCTCAGCAAAAAGAGGAGGATTAGCATGGATGTTAGCTCAGGGCTGATCTTCCTCCCAAAAAAATAAAAATAAATAAATAAATAAAATGACTTTTGTCTCACTGTTGTCATAACAAGTCCTTTACAATCAAGTGTCTATTTCTTTAACCTATTTAGACTTTCTCAAAACTCTTGGCCCTGTCAAGCTCTCTTGTCTTCTCCTCTGATCTCCAAATGTGACGTCTCTTGGGTATGCTTTGGCATAACCATCAAATTTTCATTTGTCTGGAATAGAAAGTTATGTGATTTTGTTTTTCAAACCTGCATTTACTTTAAGAATTATTGTCTTTAAGGAACTTACTGTTATTGTAGAATTATATTTCAAGGGAACCTTATACTGACTTTTCCTTTCTAAATGTCCTATTGGCTCTGCCATTCTATAGCTAGATCTACATTTTGCATTTTGTAAAAGTGTGGTGTGGGTAAATAGCTCTTAGAGATGTTATTGCATCGATATTGGTTTCACATACATCAGTGTAAACTTCAGTGTTTGCATTACTGTTTTGAATAGAACATTTCTTTATTTGCACCAGACTTAGCAAGTATAAATTAATAGAGGACAGCAGGATTATTTAATATTTAAGTGTAAAAATATATTTCTTTTGATATTGTTTATTATATATACATGCATATATTACCAGTTAATATTTTCTGTCCATTGTTTATTAATCCACAGGTGGCTATGGCTGAAGTTGAGCCATAGTGGGAATTGGGAAGTGGAGGATAACCAAGAGCTGAGTTTTCTCATCCATAAAAATAAGTGTGTTTTCTTTCTAATACTGTTTGTGTCTATATGGATAGTAATGCCATGTGTTGGCACTCCTAGGACATACATTTTGAGTTATTCTTTCCAGCAGGAGAGATGGGTTGTTGACCCCTTCGCGGTCACTCAACAGCTCTACTTAGTTATGAAAAACCACTTCCAGCAGAAAGAAACCCAAATCGCAGAACAGTAGCTTTATATCTCATATGTTTGTATAAACCTGAAGCAAGACAAGCATCAGGGGGAAAATTTCCACTTTTACCTTCTTTCTATTAACAATTGCCTTTTAAATAGAAATCTGTTGAGTTTAAGTTAGTATGAGATAGGCTCGATGTTGGTTTGACTTAAAGGACACATTTAAATTGGAACTTTTTAAAACTAGAAAACAACAAATCCACACATCAGTGGTATCCCATAAATTAAGAAGGTACTGTATTATTATTCATGGGGATAATTATTCTCTCAGGATTAATAAGGCTAAAAAGATAAATTTATGAAAACGTTATACCTTTTTATATAGTTAAGCCTAAATTAGGTTTTTTGATGTGCAATATGGCATACAATTACATACTGTTCAGTGTACAAAACCTATAGAGAAACTAAATGCTCTCATTTAGTCCAACCTCCAAGTTAACAACAACAAAATTTTTATTAAAGGCTTATCTGAGAAAATTCTCTGGAATGGTAAGTTTACATCATAGAAAGTGTACATATTTTTTATAATGTATAGTAGAGCAAATACTTTATAATAATAATATCCATTATGTGTAATTCTAAAAGATTGCTATCACTAAGAATCAGGCACCCTCTGATATGTTTTAGGTTGTTAATTACAAAGATGGTGGCAGAGTATGAAATTGGTTAACTGTGAAAAAATATGACATGTGAAATAGTTATTCTTTTCTCATGGGTTGGTATTTTAAAATCAGCCTTCTTTAAAAGTTGCTAATGGCAAGAAGCAGAATTACATGCCAACAAATCTCAGTCTAGATGGAGAGAGATAGGGGGTTATGGATTTTAAAAAAATATATTCTCTGCTTGGTCTTACTTCTGTAGATTGGGATCATTTTTCTTGGTCATGAGTACTACATGTTTGTAGATTTTTTATTTTTCCCTGAAATAATTATAGCTGTCATTTATACAAAGTCAACAACTGCTTTGGAGTAAAAATGGAGTAGGATAGCGATGGGGTCAGTGAGAATGTCCCTAGGTCTTAGCAGCACTCAGTGTCTTCTGCCGGGTGGAGGTGACGGTGCAGAAGTACGTGCCAGCTGAGAGCCGAGATGCCACCTTCTTCCAAGAGAGATTGGGCAGATCATGGTTAGGGGAAGCAGGAGTCCCCCATGAATAGTCTTTCTGATTTATGGTGGGATTGTTTTTGCTGGGAGTAACCGTATTAGCCATTTTTATCACCCAGGAGGAATCAAAATTGTTCTCCATGGGTTTGTTCTTTTCTTATTTTTTTCCCTCAAGCCTTTACTTGCCACACATGTGTTCTCCTACAAAAAGAAGTTCTTGTATTCTTAGGATGATGGTGGAACTATTTTTCAAGTGGGTACTGTAGTGCTTTTATCTGGCTAGTAGAATTTGGTGGCTAAGCTAGAAAAGTCGCTGCCTCATCATCCTCTGCGGAGGTGGCGCAGTAGAGCAGTCTGCTGTCAATAGTGTCAGCCTGGCTCTGTCTTCTTTGCTCTTAGGTCCTCTCCTCATTTCCACAGTTTACTTGAGACCCAGCTGTTAATACCCCGTTTTGTCGCTTTCTCCATGTCACTGTCTCTCCTTGTTTCTCTCTCACACTTTGGTTAGACATTTTGATTCCACAGAGGATAGGATGGGACTCATATTTTGAGGATCCTGGTTTCCTTTAAACTGGATCCAAGGACACAAGTTTCATCTGGGCTGGTGAGGATAGATGTTTTTCCCAGCCCTGACCACTCCAGCTCAGGTCAGCTGTGGGTGCTTTCTGTCTGGAAACCCTTGAATTGCCACCTCTGGACATTTGTGCCAAAAAATGATCACTATATCTCCCTATGCCTCAGACTTGGTCATAGCTCATGATTCCTCCCAGGCGTTCTGGAGCTTTCTACTTTGTTAGCAAGTAACCAGGCTCCTTATGCAGCTTCTGTGGGCATCGTGGAGAGCTTTACACCAGGACTGTGGACGGAGGTGGCGGAGGATGCTCACCTCCACCTGCGTTTCCTCTGCTGCTCGTCTGCTGCCCGAAGTCTAGACACACCAGGTGTGGGCGCCTGTGCTAGTGTTGAGGTTCATTTGCCCAGATTTTTCCCAGTACTAATGCTGGGCTCTCTCTCTCCCTTTCAGGTGGACACTCTGTGCCTCGAGGATCTGCATGCTTTTATTGCTCAGGCCTTGTGTCTCCAAGGAAAATCAACTGTGCAGCTTGTAGACTTACAGGTACTGGCATGACTGATTGATTGTCACAATTCTGAAGACACCCTGCCCTGACCAAAGGGTCAGCGCTCTTACCAGCCCTTTTCGTTTTTCTAATTTTGGTGGATATTTCACAGAAAAGATCAAGAAGGCATGTTTAGTCAATTTGTTTTCATGATACAGTGGTGTGGCTTTCTCTCTCAAATAGCTGAGCCCAGAGTCCTGCCAGGTTCGCAAAAGTTGTGAAGCTGTGTACAGGTAGTGTCCCACACTCCAGAGCTCTTTGTGAGCAGCTGGATCAAATGCTAACAAGTGCAGTTTTGAGGGACTTGTCTCATTCTTAATACTGTCTCAATATTCTAGTAATTTGAAGAGAATAGTTTGATGCTTTATAAACCTTACTAACTTTGGGAAAATACACTGCCTTTTTCTGGTGTTAGTAATTTTGGCTCGTACACATCCTGTCCTGCCTGTTTTGTCTATGGGCCTTGTCTCCCACACCACAGTGCCTGCTCTCGGAAGGTGGGTCGCATCACACCTCCCAGGTGTCCGCTCCCAGCGTCTTGCTTATTGGGTGTTCAGTAAAGATGTTTGATAGTGGAGATAATGCACTTTGTTGAGGAGGTCCATGTTCTGTACTGTTATATTCAGTGAAAAAAACTAATAAATTTTATTTATAAGCAATATCTTAATCTAATCTCAGAACTCTTACATACATTCATAAACTAATTCCCGTAGCAGTCCAATTAAACAAACAGTGCCAGATTTTTTTCTTTTGTATTAGCAGTTTTATTACATCATTTTCAAAGAAGTTGTTTTTAAAAGTGAATATTTTTCGGGGCCGGCTCGATAGCGTAGTAGTTAAGTTCACTCACTCCACTCTGGCAGCCCGGGGTTCGCAGGTTTGAATCCTGGGCACAGACCTACGCATGGCTCATCAAGCCATGTGTGGCAGCGTCCCACATACGAAATAGAGGAAGATGGGCGTGGATGTTAGCTCAGGGCTAATCTTCCTCAGCAAAGAGAGGAGGATTAGCAACAGATGTTAGTTCAGAGCCAATCTTCCTCACCAAAAAAAGAAAAAAAAAGTGGATTTTTTTCCTCCCTTTGGCAAAACACAATTTTAAAAAGTGAGTTTGAGTTATTAGTAGGTTAATACTAATTCTTTTTTTTTGATTGAGGTATAATTGACATACAATGTTATATTAGTTTCAGAAGTACCACGTGGTGATTGGATACAGTCATGCATCACTTAATGATGGGGATACATTTTGAGACATGCTTCATTAGGCGATGTCATCATTATGTGACTATCATAGAATGTACTTAACACAGACGTAGACGTACAGCCTACTACACACGTAGGCTATATGGTACTAATCTTATGGGACCACCATCATATATGCAGTCTGTTGTTGACCAAAATGTCATTATGCGGTGTATGACTTTATTTGTATATATTAAAAAATGATCACCACAATAAGTCTGGTTAACATCCATCACGCACATAGTTACAGAATTTTTTTTTTTTACAATGAGAACTTTTAAGATTTAGTGTCTTAGTAACTTTCAAATGTGCTATACAGTATTATTTAACTATAGTCCCCCTGCTGTACATTACATTCCCATGACTTATTTATTTTATAACTGGAAGTTTGTACCTTTTGACCTCCTTGACCCATTTGGCCCACCCCCATCCCCTGTCACTGGCAACCACCAATGTGTTCTCTGTATCTATGAGCTCAGTTTTTTGAGTTTTTTTTTAGATTGCACATGTGAGTGAGATCATATGGTATTTGTCTTTCTCTGTCTGACTTATTTCATTTAGCATAATGCCCTCAGTGTCCATCTATGTTGTCTCAAATAGCAAGATTTCATTTTTTTTATGGCTAAGTAATATTTTGTTGTATATATATACCACATTTTCTTTATCTGTTCCTCCATCAGCGAACACTTATGTTGTTTCCATGTCTTGGCTATTGTTAATAATGCTGCACTGTTCATGGGGGTGCAGATATCTCTTTGAGATAGTGATGTCATTTTCTTCAGACACATACACCAAAGTGGGATAGCTGAATCATATAGTATTTCTATTTTTAATTTTTTGAGGCACCTCCATATTGTTTTACATTGTGGCTGCATAAATTTACATTCCCACCAACAGTGCACAAGGGTTCTCTTTTCTCCACATCTTCGCCAGCACTTGTTATTTCTTGTCTTTTTGACAATAGCCATTCTGACAGGTGGGAGGTGATATCTCAGTGTGGTTTTGATTTGCATTTCCCTGATGATTAGTGATGTTGAACACCTTTTCATCTATCTGTTGGCCATTTGTATGTCTTCTTTGGAAAAATGTCTATTCAGATCTTCTGCCCATTTTCAAATTAGAATGTTTGATTTTTTGCTGTTGAGTTGTATGAGTTCTTTATATATTTTGGATATTAATCCTTTATCAAATATATGGTTTGTAAATATTTTCTCCTATTTGGTAGGTTGCCTTTTCATTTTATTGATGGTTTTGTTTGCTATGCAGAAGCTTTTTAATCTGATGTAGTCCTACTTGTTTATTTTTGCTTTTGTTGTTTATTTTGCTTTTGTTGTTTAATTTGCTTTTGTTGTCAGATCCAAAAAAGTCATTGCCAAGACTGATGTGAAGGAGCTTACCGCCTGTGTTTTCTTCCAGGAGTTTTGTGGTTTCAGGTCTTACATTCAAGTCTTTAATCCATTTTGAGTTTATTTTTGTTTATGCGGAGTACGATAGTGGTCCAGTTTTATTCTTTTGCTTGTGGCTGTCCAGTTTCCCCAACACCATTTATTGAAGAGACTGTCCTTTCCCCATTGTATATTCTTGGCTCTTTTGTCATAAGTTAATTGACCATATATGCATGGGTTTATTTCTGGGCTCTCTGTTCTGTTCCATTGATCTAAATGTCTATGTTTATGCCAGTACCATACTGTTTTGATCACTATAGCTTTCTAATATAGTTTGAAATCAGAGAGCACGATGCCTCCAGCTTTGTTCTTTCTCAGGATTGCTTTGGCTATTTGGGGTCCTTTGTGGTTTCATACAAATTTTAGGATTGTTTGTTCTATTTCTGTGAAAAATGCCATTGGTCTTTTGATAGGGATTGCATTGAATCTTTAAATGGCTTTGGGTAGTATAGACATTTTAACAATATTAATTCTTCCAGTCCATGAACACAGAGTATCTTTCCAGTTATTTGTGTCTTCTTCAGTTCCTTTCATCACTGTCTTATAGTTTCAAGTGTATAGGTCTTTCACCTCCTTGGTTAAATTTATTCCTAAGTATTTTATTCTTTTTGATGCAATTGTAAATGGGATTGTTTTCTTAATTTCTCTTTCTGATAGTTTGTTATTAGTGCAGGGAAATTCAAGAGATTTTTATATATTGGTTTTGTATCCTGCAACTTGACTGAATTCGTTTATTGATTCTAACAGTTTTTTGCTGGCGTCTTTAGGGTTTTCTATGTATAATATCATGTCATCCATAAATAGTGACAGTTTTACTTCTTCCTTTCCAATTTGGATGCCTTTAATTTCTTTTTCTTGCCTAATTGCTCTGGCTAGGACTTCCAATACTATGTTGAATACAGTGGTGAGAATGGGCATCCTAGTCTTGTTCCTGATCGTAGAGGACAAGCTTTCAGCTTTTCGCCATTGGGTATGATGTTAGCTGTTCACTGTCGAGTATGAACAGCTGTTAGCTCTTCCTCCCTTTGGCAAAACACAATTTAAAAAGTGAATTTTGGGTTATTAGTATGTTAATACTATTTCTCAATACTAGGCTGTAGCCCTAGCTGCATCGCCTTCCTTCCAGGCCCGTGTCCTGCTACTCTGCCTGTCTGTCCCTTAGCAGCTGCTAAGCTGCTTTCATTATATAGCCCAGGACCCTCATCTCTTCTGCTCTTCCCTCCCAATAAAATGAAACAGCCATGCAGAAGGAGAAAGGAACTTGGAGGTCATGCTGTCTCCTGCTTTGTTGTACATATGGGGAAACTGAGGCAGTGTAGGCAGCACCACCTGGAGTCCAGGGTCATGCACTGGGCTGTCACTTGCTAGCTGCATGACCTTGAACAGTTCTTAGAAATGTGCAGTGGAACATAACTTCTCCCTCTTGTAAAGTAAGGGGATGCCGTATGTGCTTGTGCCAGGATGCTCTGTCCTTGTCAACACTGAGTGTGCCACGCCACCCACACCTTGTTATTGGCAGAGCCCGAGTGAAGTGAGGGCTCTTGATGCCTGACCAGTATTCTCGCTTCTACCCTTTTCCTTGAGAAAGACCCTGTTACTCGGAGTGAAGAGGCCTCAGGGAAGGCACACTTTAAAAGCAGACTTGAACAGGAGCACACACCCTCCTGCCAGCTCTCTTGGGCCTTCCTCTTGCCAGCTGTGGCATCTCCAGGCAGACCAGGCACCTTCCCATTGTTCTGGCTCTTTCCAGCAAAAACAGGACCCATGCCAGCTGTTACTCATCACTGCCCCTTTTGAGTGCTGCAACTGGGCAGCTTGTTCTCCACAGGTGAAGAGTACTCCAGTGACCGCCACAGCCACTACGGAAAGTGTCCCAGGAGGAGGGAGGTGCTTTTCCCCCACCTGCTGTGGCACTGAAAACAGAACTCGATTTCAGTTGCCTACTCGTCAGCCCAGGGCTACTATCCCTTCTGGCTTCCCAGGTTGATTGTGGAGATGCCGTGAGAGGGCAGGGCAGGCTCTCCCAGGATGAGACCCTTCTGACTGCTGAGGGGCGCCTTGTCTGAGAGTTGGCTGTGGCTTTGGTTCCAGACCCCTTGTCTTCACCACCAGCTCTAGAGCCACATGGCTTCTGGGCCTGGTGTCCCTGCTCACTGTGCTCATGGGGAATTTTTAAAATGCTTCATTAGTTTTTTACCCAGAATTATTTTTCTTGTCCCAACAGCTCAAATATAGCTTTAAAACAATACACGTATTTACATATTTGTTAAAAAATCCAGGTGATTGGATTGTATATGTAAACATTATATCAC